AGAGAGAGAGAGAGAGAGAGAGTTTATATATTTACAACACACACATACGTGTGTGTGTCTACACCCATGCACGTATAACTGAATCTTATTAGGTTAGGATCATTGGCTCTTTATTTCCTGGCCCTTTAGGAAAATGGAGTTATTTACTTGGAAGGTGTTTGAAAAATCACCGATTCCCAAAATCCTTGATCCACATTGGGAATCAGTGAACACTGTGGCCGTTCTATAATTATATAGTATATATTATTAGTTGCTATGCCAACTAAGCTAATATTGCTTAGTTGGCTAGTATGGATGGTTATTTAATGCTTGGTTGGGGGCTAGAACCCCTTCCTAGCACTCTACACCTTTTTAAAAACCTCTTAACTTTTTTTTTCCTAGTTTTTTGTCAGATCGCCCATCCAGTCAATCTAGATCGGTATTTGTAATTGGGTGATCCACCTCATTGATCGATTTTATTAAATTGCTTAGAAGTTTTGAAAGAATCACCTCATTTTCGACCAATTACTGGTTCGAAAAAACCTGTTGGATTTGGAATGATTCGAAATCCTTGTTAATGCAATTCTTTTTTATTCCAAAGGAATGTTATGTTTCCTACAGTGGTGAATGAATCCTTTGAATCCGGTACCAATAGGTATCATCCCCCTAGAGCAATTATTTTCTTTCAAACAAGTAACTAATATATATATATATAGAGTGTGAGGCTTATATAAGATGGCAACCTTATTTGTAAAAAGTAAGTTTGTAGTGTTTTGCTCCATCTATTTTAATTGGATGGTATCAATTTGACACTTCTTTTATGACAATGTCAAATTTTTTATACTGTTTTAATAGACGTGCAAAATCTATACTGTCTAACTAAAATGGATGGTGTAGAACATGGCAACCTTACTTCTACAAGTAAGGTTGCCAGTTTGTTTGGAACAATTGGCATTATTGGTTGTCACCTAAAATAAGTAGTGATTTCAATTATGTTCCCAGTTATTTGATCTTGATCATTCGGTTGAGAGTGCATGTTCCTATTTGAATTTTATTTTTATTTTTACAAATCAGATTGAGCTGAAATTTTGAGAGAATGTGTGCCTCATTTGTGCACACATAAAAAAATATAAAAAATAATTATAGAAAATAAAATGGCGAAAAATAACCCTACAATATTGCAGCGATGCATTGGCCATTATACTTTTTAAGAATTTTTGTTTTATATTTTTTAATGGTGCATAATCGTGATAAGCACACACACCTAAAATTCAGCTCAATCTTTGTAAGAAAATAAAATAAAAATAAATTATAACATGCAGTCTCAACTGTCTAATCAAGATCTAATGGTTAGGAGCAAGGTTTTAAAGTCTAGTTCTGTGCCCAAGATTCGACAGATCAACGATCCAGTTTCCCAAACCGTTCATCAAAAAATTTAAAAAAATTGAATTTTTTTCAAAAAAAGTGGGCCAATTCTTACTGATTCTATTATAGAACTAGCTAGTTCTGTAAGAGAACCCACTAGAACTGGCCATGTCATGGGGAGAACCAGTTGTCTCTTGATATTTCACTGGAATTGGTTCACTCCCGACGATTCCCAATTTGGATTGGCCGGGTCGGTCTGGTTTCAATACGGATCGGCTTTTTCTTAAACCTTGGCTGGGAGAGCAATAGAAATTCATATGTGATTAAGTGATACTACTACACTAAATATTTTTTAAAAGATGATGAGGTAAGCTGCTATGGGTTTTGAAAATGGGGTGTCTTCTTTTTTGGCTGGGCTTGGAAGAGATTTTTAGGTGAGGAATGACTAAATGATCAACCTTAGGTCTGGCATCTTGGAAAGTTCCATCAGATGATTTATTAATCTCATGTTGAATGTATGCTGGAATTGGGACCAATTCAAAATATCTTCATGGATTGGCGCTAGGGGACCAACTCCAAGTCTATGTTTTAATCCTCAAGACTCATCTATATGATTTCCTGATATTCTTTCACTGATGAAACACAATATCTGTTAATTTAAACGTCTTAAAAATTCTGATAATCACTGGTTGAGTTCTGTTGGGTTCCCGATCTGATAATCACTGGTTGAGTTCTGTTGGGTCCCTGATCTCTAGTTTCAGCATTGCAAACTTTATTTGGCACTCTCATTTTTCATATCTGTCCATTGATCGCATCCTGGAAAAAAAGTATAACAGAAAAAAGGTTTGGTATTGCTCTTGGCTACTTGTTCCCTACATTTTTGTTACCAACTAATATCTTCAGAGAAACATTTCCAGCTAAAACTTGATATTGGGGCAATGAACCAGTTTGAATCGGATTCGGCAACCAGAATTTTTGACACATCTGAGGGAATAAACAATCCTATCATAAATAATTTGCCAAGGAATTGAAGAAAATATCCACAGCAATTTAAGAATTACAATACTTAGTGAGCCATTTAAGAATTATGATTCTTAGTGAGCCTGACTGCTTCCAGCAAGTTCCTTGAGTAGCATTAAATGGACTGATTCTTCTAATGACATGCATACTGCACGGATGGGTAATTGTTTACCGGTACATGTTCCAACCACCTATGAATGGTGGGTTCTGCATAATTGTCACTATGGTACATCACATTCAAGTTAGATGTCGACTATCTTGTTCTTTGTGAGATGAATACAGGTTGTAGATGCTGAGTGTAGTTGCAATTGGAGAAGATGCTTCTTGTTTTCAAATATGTATTAATGTCATAGGAGCAGTTCTATATCTATGTACATTGTATGCCACATCAGTCTCTCCTAGTCTTATGTATTTTTTATGCGATTCCGTCCTGGATTTTGGTCTTCATATAGTGGTCATAAGGCTTGATTATTTTCCTCAATTGGAATTATGTCATAGACGTCTCATCAGTTCATGTGGCACTAGAGCCGCCCGGAGAATTTTAGAACAGCTGTAAAAGTTGAAACTCGGGCTTCCTTTTGGGAAACCTAGGTCCATTGCTTGATTCTATAGCAAATAGTTAGCTAGGATCTCATTACATCCACTAATGCTTTCCACCTCAACCTGAATTAATCTTGTTATTGAAGTTCTCATGTGGACTGCACTTGCATATGCTGTTCTACAAACTCTTGAGATCCTAAATTTCTTTAGTGCTATTGTCCTCCAATAAACAAATATTTCGACAAAAATCTTGTTGCCAACAGATTTGTGTTTGCAAAATGACTAAAGCAGTATTCGGGTGGAAGTTCGCAAAATAGTTTGTCACACACATTCAAGATCTTGCTTGCTCCAATACTTGGCAACTATTGAAATGTTCAAGTTATACTAGCATAGGTCTAGAACTTTGGCAGGTGAGGATGTCAATCCTTGAAGAATTGATGAGAACTGCATATTTAAGTTTTTATTGGTGGAAAATTATATTAAACTGATATGAGGTCCTCACACTTGAATCTGACCATTTTATAGTAGGGGTTTAAGTATCAAGATCAGGACTGATGCCTTCCATGTATGTGGCTATGTATTGACGAAACCCTATCAAACATTGAAGCCAACTGAACAAATGAGTCGAGAAAGATATGGGATGAAGAGGGATTTCAAGCACGTTGGATATGTTGATAACATTTTTAAGATTTCATTAATGTTTTTGTTTCTTGATTGATTTATTTTAAGCTTTCTATGCTTCACAAAAGAAGCAGACCTAACGCTGCTAATATTGAAGTATACACTGTATAATGTTGATAGTCTTCAATGATGACTCTCTATGGGAGGTCCACCAAATTTTCAAAGTGAAATGAACAGCAGGGGTACTCCCTGAGCTCATCTTGAGGAGCATGGGTTTTGAGCATTTGCTTTTTTATATGATTTGTTATCATTATGTTGTCACGCAACTACCATCGAATTCTTGATGCATTAGATGTGCATTCTTGATACTTGTCTTCTATATGCAGCATGTTGAGGCTCTCGAGATCCTTCTTCAGGGTCTCAGTGGTGTTCCTAGAGAACATTTTAAGATTCACGAGTTATGCCTGAAAAGTGGACCCAACCTTGGTGAGTATATCAAAATTTCCTGACCCCCACTTTTCTCTTCTTTGCCTAATGATTCACAATCGTAGTGTTTCTTCATGTACGCAGGAGCTGTAAGCTCTGAAGTGCGACTCTTATGCAATTTGGAACGGCCCGAACCATCTTGGTAATTTTTCCGTTCTGATCATTATCACGGTTATTTGTTATTTGCCGCTTCAATGCGCAATTTAAAGGGGAGAGAACTACAAAAACTTTTAAAATCCAAGAGATGCGGTTTTTAATTGGGAAATCCATCTTAATGCTTTATTCTAATTATGTTGCTAATTTGCGTATTTTCTTATCCAAAGCTTATTTTAAAAATTATGAACCAAAAAAGAAATTTTAAGTGTCGAGTTATGTACGCGGACAACTGAAAATATGCCATAGTCCATTGAAAGCAACATTGATATCCCCTTCACACGATCAGATGTCTGGGGATTAACTGTGCCTAGACCAAAGTTCTGGTGATCCCATCTCCATTTGATCGCCAACCATCCACAAGGAGATTGGATGGTGGATGTGGCCTTGAAGCACCATATAACACAGTCTATTGGAATGAACTACAGTTCCCCTTCCATGTGAAAAAAATCTCAAGAATTTGGTAGTAATAAGCTCAATTTCAAGCTGTGTAGGACAGTGCGCCACATTGGTGGTGCCATGAGAGGTCCAGGGGCTGAGCAACTCTCGGTGCTTGTGAGGACCACTACAGAGAGTAAAGTGAGCAAGAATGCGCTTCGATTCTTTTATGCTCTCGGGTACAAGCTGGACCATGAGCTCTTGAAAGTGGGCTTTATGTTTCACTTCCATAGAGTTGCTTTGATCACTGTGACTGTAACTTCCACTAATAAAATGCCAAAGCTCCATGTGATTGAGGAAGCCATTCCAGTAACCCCAGGGATGCAATTGGTTGAAGTGTCGGCGCCAGCTACTGCGGATAACTACAATGAGGTGGTGGCAGCGGTTTCATCGTTTTGCGAATATCTTGCACCGTAAGAAGCTTCTTCATTGTTTCTTTATCCATTGAAATAGGGAAATTGTAGCATACTCTGGTGGGGCATGATGAGTGGTACTCCATAAGGGCATCCACTATCTGTTCTTTATGATGGATGGTGGAGATCAACTGTATCTGGTTAAAGGTTCGAGTAGGTCCTCCTATGGTTGATCTCCACTGTCCTCATCAAGAATAGACAGTGGATTCCCCTTTTCAGTGTGCTGGTTATACTCCATTGCATTTTTATAATTTTTCATAGAAATATGATGCCCAAATGCTAGTTTCTGGCCCATCAATATCAATTGGATATGAAACTGATATGATGGATTATGGAGCAGAAACACTAACGTTCATGTATTGCAAACTCTCTAATCCTTCTCCAGAAGTTTTGGATACAAAAAACATCTGCCATCTATTAAAATCATTGTTTGGGCATAAATACTTTTGGACATTTGTCAAGAGCAATGAAGAAAGTGAGTCATAAGCTAAGGGCTGACAGTAGGTAGATAGGGCATGTAAGACTCCCCTATGGCACAATTGCTGTCCTTTATGCTTATTTTGCCCTCAAAAGATTGAAATGCAGTGGAGGCACTTGTTAAAAATGATTTGTATCAGAGGGTGAAGCATATGAGTTCAGAAATTTTGGTGGTGGACTAAGAGTTTCCAAAAGTAGATGTGTGTGTGTACATGTGTGTTGGTGAATGTGTGTGTGTGTGTGCGTGTCTTTTAATAATGCTTGGTCGTTGTTGGTGTGATTTTCTTTCCATGAAGTCCCACATAGTTTTAGCACAGAAGCTTCAATTCCAGGTGCATGATATACTTCCCTCATGTGTGAACCCTAGGCACCTTGGTTTACATCAGATGTCAAGTCACATCCTCCATATTATTATCCATGCCGCTAAACTCCTTTGACCTAAAATCCGATCTCTTTACTTTGTGTTCGCATGAATAAATTGATGTAGTGTAGTCCTCCATATTATTATCCATGCCGCTAAACTCCTTTGTCCTAAAATCCGATCTCTTTACTTTGTGTTCACATGAACAAATTGTGTATTGTGTAGGCTTTTGCACCTTTCAAAACCTGGCCATTTGACTGGATTGGTACCAACTGTGGCTGCTGCCGCCGCGTCTCTCATGTCAAAGGGGAGCGGGCAAGTGTTATAGACTTATAGACAATGCCATATTTGAAGGTGAATGTGAGAGTTACTTGTTTTTATGGCTCCTTTATAAACAGCCACTGTTGCAAGTTTAGGATTTGAGCAAATTTCAGGCCTGCGTTATATTGGAATGGTTTCAGTGTTGCAAAAAATTATTAGGCATCTGTAAATGATTACTTCTCTGTGAATTTGTGTTTCTATTTTCTTGTTGAACAGTTTGAATATTTGCAAAAATTTGTCTTTTGTAAATGATAACGCGCCTTTGATTTTGTGTTCTTTTGTTGAGGTTGCTTTAGGTGTATTTCTTTTTTTTGGGGGGTCTGGGTATAGGAACCCGGCTTGGGTAGTCTACCTGGGCTGTTGCCGGATTCAAGCTGATTCGGTGATCTGGGCGATTTGGACCGGTTTGCCTAGTTCAGCCTTATGGAGCCCCAACAAGAAAAAATCGAAAAAAATTAAAAAAAATCGAATATCAAACTACGTTGATTTGTGACAAATTTGATGAATATGTCATACATTGTGATTAAATTATCAAAAAGGTTTGAATGCTTCTAAGTGCCACATCATTTCACATTCTAAAATGCAGTATATTTTAATAGTGATATCCATAGTATGTATTAAATATCAACCTATGTTTAAATGAGACAAACATAAAATATAAAATAAAAAGGAACGGCGTCATAGCTCATTGTCATCTTGACTGCTCTCTTCATGACCAATGCCTTGCTGCTAAGTGAACTGATTAAGGAGGGTTCAAGGTTATGGGATCCAAGTTGACTATGTCCACCATATTGGGGAGGCGCATCTCCTTGTAGCTAGGGGTGTAAATAGGTCACACAATCCAGACCCGACCGGAATGTTCGAAGGATGGACCTGGTCTGATTCGTTCAAAAAAAAGATGGACCTGGTCTGATATCTGACCCAGGTGGACCCGATAAACCCAAACCTATCCTAGGTAGGTTTTTAATATGTTTAACTTATATATAATTAATAAGTCATAATTTTATAAAAATCATAAATAATTAATACAATATGTGTCTGTATATCTATATATTATATTTTATATTTTGCATATGGTTGTTCTAGGGTAGACTATGTTAATGGTGAACTTAACATTTTTTACTACAAAACACTCTTGTAAATATAAAAGTTATATTAGTAATTTGTTAATTATTTTTTTTTAAAATTCAATGGTCATTCAAAAAATCAAATGAATCTTTTAAAATTTGGAATTGAGTTCTGTAAGTTTTAAAACAAGAAAGATTTTATGGTTTTTGCAATACCATAATCCAATTATGGAGTATCGCATATGTTACTCCAAAAGGGCATCCACCATCCTTCGTCGATATTGTAGGGTCAAGATTAATTGACTAAATGCCCTTGCTGGGTCAATATTGCCTAGTCTCTACCATGTCAACAGGAAAGGATGGTAGATGCCTCCTGGGAGTAGTACTGAGAGCAGATCACACACCGGATTATAGTGTGCTTCCTTTTCAATATAATTTACATATAATGGCCTCCCCGTTTACATTTTAGGACTTCAAATGGGATGGAATTATTGATTACTAAAATTCATTGTTTTTTATGTCATATGTCAATACTTGTTTGATTTACAGACATATGTCGACATGCATAGACATGTCACAGACATTTGATGGTATGCGTCAGATAACATCATCACTTTTTGAGAAAGTATAAGGCTTAGGTGGTATAGCGAACATCAAGACGTAAATGCCACTTTGACATTATATTAGAGATAAATTTATATTAATGCCCTTCTAAATTACCATTATTTAAAGATTTTTTTGAAAATTTTGACTTTAATTTAGAGAGTTTCATGAGTGAAAGTACTTAATGGTAAAAGTTACTCTTTACTTGTATTTGTATGTATTCTAAAAAAATACCCAAACAAATTGTGTATGTGGACAAGAAAATAACTTAATATTTAACTAGAGACCGTCCAATTTTTGGATGGTCAAGCATAAAAGCTAATTTGACAAAATTGCGTATATAAATGTGCAAATAAATGTGCATACAAGTTGATACTACACAGAATGGAGAGAAAACAACAATTTGTAACTTTTGATATAACATTGTACCCTAACCTGAAATATGGTCGTAAGGTGTTAGAGTCAAGTAGATTACAATGGTAAGAAATTACAAGAATACAATAGGAATGAAATGACCCGAAGAAGCCCATACTTACCCCACCACCCCTCTCTCTCTAAACAGAATACTTCAACTTTTTCTCTCTTTCTAACCTTTTCCAATTCTATCTTTCCCCTTAAATCCATCTCTCTCCTTTTTTTTCTCTCTTTCTAACAAGGGTAGACTTCAAATCTCTCACTAAACTTTTGCCTTTTTTTCCTTCGCGCTTAAACCTATATCTCTTCTTTTTATATGTGCGGGTGCCCATATGAGGAGGTGAAATTATTTTCCTTGATAAAACGTGTGTACTCTCAAGGGAATATATTAGAGACAGGAAACTTTATCGGCTACACATCTACTTTTAAAATATGGAAGATAGGTTTTTAAGTTTTATTTTTCATTAAATTTAATATTTCAAAACATATTTTAAATCTTAAAAATTTAAAATATTATATCTTTTAATCCTCTACACTAATTTTAGTCACTTTTATCCTATTTTTTAGTCTAAACAAATCTTTGAAAGACATGTATCTTTTTTTCTCTCTTAATTCTTTCTCCCCCATGATTCTCCCCAAACCCCTCTCTCTCTCTCCCGTGGTTCCCCAAACCTCTCTCTGTGAAGCCCAGAGCAGGTCTTAAGAACACTTTCATTCATCGGGCTCTACCCGTCACTAAAATTCGTTAGAGGAGATGGAGAACGAGGAGGCTTTGATGTTGACTGGTTGAAGCCACATCTCCACCATTGGAAGCCATTGTTGAAACCACATCTCCACCATTGGAAGCCATTGTTGAAGCCACATCTCCACTATTGAAAGCCATTGCTACAGTTCTTGAGAGAGAAAGAAGATGAGGATTTTTTAGTTTGGAGTGATAAGTACCTGTGATCAAGTGGACACTTTTGGTTTGCAGCATTGAGGATTGTTGAGAAAGTTAGACTTTTGGTTTTCTGGGATACTGAAAATTCATACTTTTGGTTTCCTGCAATGGGGAGGTGAAACTATTGAAGATCAGAGAGACTTTTGATTTCCTTCAATGGGGAAGCGAAGCTATTGAAGACCAGAGAGAGGGTAGAGAAAGAAAGATGTGGTTTCTTTAGTTTGGGAAAATACGGTGGAGAGAGAGTGAGTACCGGGAAACAGAGAGAGAGTTGGAGGATTTGGGAAGAATCATGGGGGAGAGATAAATTTAGGGCACGTGGAGAGAGAGTGGTTTAGAGAGGGCATGTCATTTTAATATTTGTTTGGTCTAAAAAATTAGAAAAAATTTGGTCTATAAAAATAGAAAAAATTAAATCAAGGGATTAGAAGATACAATACTTGATATCTTTATGCCCCAAGATATATTTTCAAACTTTGGATGCTTGAGAAATAAAACTTAAAAACATCAGGTATGAAGATATTTTCCTTTTAAAATATTAGTTCCATAAAAACTTAATTAAATTCACATAAAAGCAAGTTTGATCTAAGTTACAATTATAACTTTATTTTGATGAGAGAATGAAAATCAACAAATTCAATTATACGCATTTGTTACTATATTAAAGCATCCAACCAACCATGTTGTGACAACATGTACCCATAAACAGGCTTAAAATCTAGGGGCAGCATTAAGCCTCGTTTTACCTAAAAAAAACCTTAAAAGGCATGATGGATTATGGTTTCCAACAAAAATTACCAGAAATATTACATCTCTCATAACGGTCAATTCTGGAGGATCCTCATAGTTGGTGTTGGTGGACCTTCCTAATAAAATTCATGGGCTTTGGGCTCCATTACGACCCACAACATGTACATCGACGGTCTACAAAAAGGGAACAACATCAAAAAGGGCTAAAGTTCATTAGGACAAGCCCTACCCTGGTCACTATTCACATGGCTAAAAGGCTGCAAAATACATGTTGATACCCCTCGTTCTTTTGGTCATTTCTCCCCAATCCCACATGAATGGGCTGAAAAATAGAAAGGATGTTCTTTATTCAATGCTATTTGTAGTCATATGGACATCATGGAGGTTCCTTACTTGGATCTATGCTAGATTTGAGACCAAAGTAGAGGATGGAATAAATTTTCATGTGTGGCAGAATACATGACTTTCACCCACTCCAAGTTCAAACTCTCTCAATCCAAAAGGTATTTTAAGCTAAAAGTTTGCAAGCATTCTCTTAGCTCAACACCCTAACCATGTATATAAGTTATTGCCAGGTTCCTACGAAGATTGGAGCCCATTTTGAAGCCCCAACACTGATAAAAGTTTGAAGTTCTAGGAAATGTGCTTTGCACCCATAAAACTTTCGTAACTCCCCCAAATGTAGAGTTTTTGAGTGAAGCTTAAGGTAAAATAATCCTAACTCGATTTTCTACGAGATCATGGAGCCAAAATGGCCATGCATTTATGCTAAACCGGTCGAAATAATTAGGGAGGTTGATGATATGTGAGGCTCCAAAGATTCTATGGGTCACCAATTGATATTCCCCTCAAAAAACACATAATAAACTTGCCATTTCAATAATGATGGGATAAAAAGTTGATTTTTTACCCATGTATTATTTATTTTATTGGTTTCCCACCCATGTTTCATTCAAGCCTTATACAACCTCCAAAACTTCATTTGAAGGGTTGGAGAGTTAGAAATTCATCTTAGGTTAGAAGGACAAAGAGCTAGTTACATAAACCTTTTTAGACAGAAATCCATTAGCTTGAGCGGTAAATTTCCCCTTATAGATAGAAAGGAGGAGCCTAACCCCAACCCATCCAAACCTAGCTTAGCAAGCATTTTAGGGGTTCTTTCCTTGAGTTTTGCCTGTCTTTGGTTTTTTTTTTTTGTTGTCATATATATTTATAAAAAAACATATCCAAACGCACATGAAAAAGAGCACACAATATAATGAGGAACTGATACAAATTTATTGCATTCAGTTATCCTGGATCGCACATAAAAAATCCTATGGGAAACTTCAAATCAATTTTCAAGCCTTTAGAGGCTTCTTCTAATGAAATCGGTAGGGGAAGCTGATAGAGTAGGTATGAGTGCCATAGACCTCTGAATAAACTTTCCAACGGTTGCCAATTCTAAGCTACAAGAGAGAAATTATGCTCTATTGAAGATGTGGTGCTCAAAATCACCTCAT